AGATATGGGAGTAGCTGTACCTATAGTCAGAGCTTTTTTCTAATCGATACCACGACCGACTCGCGTCTGAGTTCCTCCTTGGGCGGAATTTGCGTCTCAACAGCTGATTGCACAGCTGTAGGGCGTGGGCGTTCGATCGAATGAAAGGACTCGCGTTTTCTATTGCAAACTCCTGCAGAAAATCCGTTCCTCCCTAAAGAGATCATAGATCTTCGAGTACCTAGTGATCAATTACACTTCATTCTGACTGAATATTTTCGTCCGAAGCACCAACCCAACGATTATACGAACAGATCATTGTAAACAACATTAACGTATGTTTTTCTTAATTATATTTTCAAATGAACACGACTGTCGAACAAACAACCGTTTGTCCTTTGTACGTCAACGTCGTACCTTCGGTTCCCACCTTAATCCTCCATTAACGACTCGACGAGCCGATTAATTCTGAATCACTGCGGTGATTATCCGGCTCGCGACGGAATAATAAAATTCAATTGCAAAAGCGATACGGATTCTGCGTACTTACGATGTTACATAACTCCTCACCGAGCTCGTTCGAGTATCGATATTATTAATATTTATAAACCCCGACTACTCGAACAGCCTCACTTTCTTTTTCCGCCGCTAATATTCACCCTGACTCAGCTAATCTCTATCGAGTTCCATCGAACTATTACAATCCGTCAATAGAGAACGCGATCGTACATAATTGAATATCATTAGATTCTAATAATATTCTAATAATAGTTCCGAGTTGCTAAACCGTTCCGGTTCTTCGCTGAAAAATCACGTTCGCGGAATGATCCGCACCAATGCGTATTATCGTGCCGACGAACGTTGTGTCCCAGTGAACATTGAACGTTGCTCGGCCGAACGGCCGCCATCTTGACCGCGCACCCTCGGCAAAAGGACAACCGGCAAGTTTCGCAATTTTCCACGCGGCGGAAACTTTGTCGCGACGGTGAATTTAATTACCCACACAACAGACTCCCACGACGGTGCCGCGGGAACACGTGGACACACCGTTGGAAGTTCGCCGCGCGCCACCGCTATCGACCTATACAGATTTCCCTTTCGTTTCTGCCCTTTATGGAGCGCGCGGTGACACTGCATCTGCACCGTTCGCATTCATACGCGACAACCGTGCCGGGGATAAATCTCCGCGCAATGCAGCTGCGACTCCGTATATGATCCTCCGTGGCCCCCTAAGAAACCGTTCCGTGCAACATGTGCCGGTACCCCGCATGCAAATTCGCTAAACAACCGTGCGACCCTGCACAGTGGGAACGCGGCCGTAGGGCATCGGTAGACATTCGGCTGAGACGAAACGAGGGGCGAGATGCAACGCGTTTAAATGCATTGCCACGGTGTTGCCTCCATAATTGTTCCATTGCGGGGACATTTTTCAGGCAATTATCGAGACAGGTAGCTGTTCGATGGATTTAGCGTGATGATATGAATCTGTGTTGCCTCTGTAACTGTATCGCGGGGACCTTTTTGGGGCAATTATCGAGGCAGGTAGCTGATGGAGCGTGTAATATGAATCTATAGTTTGATCGGAGTTTGGTAAGGAAGTTCATGCTCCCAGGAAATAAACAAAGAATACTGTTGCTATGGGAAGATTCCTGAGACAATTATCGAGGCAATTAGCTAATTCTCCCGTCGCGGGAAGATGGAATTACAGTGCCGAGTCTAATGTTAGATACAGTATTAAGTGAAACATTATGCTCTAATCTTCAGGCAGCTGTGTACGAATCACAGGAAGAAAACTAGAAGGATGCTGTTTGAAGACAAGCAGATGATTAACTTATCTTTCCCACTGGGGAATGCGAAGATTTCCCAGAGCACAGCGTCGAGTCGAATGACTACAATTTCCAGCGACCGCGGAGAATCTAGCAGGCTGTGGGATCGCGATCCATTGTCTCTAATTGATGACTCTAATCTCTCGGTGGTCTAGAAGAAATGTTTCCCCGGTTCAAATCCGAAACCCGTTAGACGGAGTGTCGGGTATCTCGACGCCAGTATTTCATTCGTATGAATTCTCGCGCGAGAGCGTATCGGCGGGCTGCTCTTCTCCCGTTCCGCAGGCGGACTAGTCAGGGGGTCGGCCATGTTCTAAACAACCAGTGGGTAAATCCCTGGGATGCCGAAGCGTGTTTTAAAGAGCATACCGTGGATAGTTGCGCCGCACAGCCGACGAAACGGGACAGCTTTGTTATTTTAATTCCTCGGCCTGATTGCTGCTTCCATGGGAAAACTCGAGCGTCCTTCTTAGCTGCCCGCGAAACCGCGCGCGTGACTCACGGGTAATCTACGTCCACGAGCAATGATTTATGCCGTGAGAAAGATGAAAAATCATTAAACACCGAGAATAGAATGTCTCGAGAAAGAAACTTCTCAATTAGTAAAAGGTTGATCGCATCTTTGGATTAGATCTTCGTGTCGTTTAGTCCTCGAATATAATGAACTTATGGTCCCAGGTGATAATTAAACAAACGAAAACTGAACAGTTCACGTCACTAGAAACGGAATTGTAAATCGTTCGATTCGACGCTAACGCGTCGCGCAAGCGGCTTTTACAAAATGGCGGACGCCCGGCTACAGCGAGTCACACGTCCGAAGATGAGTGCTAATCGTCGAATGAAAAATGTAAGAGAATATCTCCTCAACGTTCGTCCGATTTATCAGTGAAATTATTCAGCTCCAGAGACGCTTCCAGCCGTTTAACGGCTGGTCTCCGCGAGCCGTTGCGACACGGTGCACACGCGCGCCTGCACCCGCGATGCACACGAGATTTATCTATGCAACGGTCGCATGTACCGGACGACGTTCACCGGTGCGTTCGGAATTCCGCGGCAAGGGAAAATGTCCTGGAATTCTCGAATGCATCGCGAGCCGCGATAAAGCCGAGAGTCTCAGCGCGTTGTTCGACGTGTGTCGCTCGGCTCCCCGCGCGCGGAAAAAGCGTCGCGCGGTGTTTTCGAGCCTTTCAGCGCGGAACTAACGGCGCCTCGGCGACTTTGACACGACTAAAAGAGCACCGGCGACAAGAAACGCTCGTTAATCCGTTCCGACGCCGCGTTTTCGACTTTATCGCGCGACAGTCTCGGTCTTTTGCATGTCTCACCCTTTCAGCGGCGAGACTGGATATATCCGCTCTGATTAATCGCTAATATAATTGCTACAAACTAACAGTACGAACACGTTCGAATATAATACTATCTAATAGCCAATGCGATCGTCGGTTGCTTTCGTAGCAAAGATGAATTCCATTAGAAATCATTATTAATTATCCGACCGACCCACTGCGGAAAGTAAAATAAGCAGTTTATTGCTCTCTACATCGTCGTAATCGGCGCGATCTGCAGCGGATAAACTTCTGTCCCTCGAATCCATCGTTTCGGAGCGGATCTGCCAGCCACGGACATTCACGCGAACGTTTCGAGGACTGTAATGCGCGTGAACCGTGAAAATAAGTCACCGCGTTTCGGACGCGGAATATTTACGGCGTTGCTCCCCGCCGACCGTGAATATCGCGAGATCAAGAATAAGAGAGTACCTAGTTGCTCGCAACCGAGCGTTGAAAGGCGAAAGAAACGTTCCCGATAAACGTATTCCTCCCTTTCGCGGCGCTAATAATTCATGTTCCATAATTCATGTTTATCGGTGGCCAACCACAGCTGGCTGCCCGCTCGGCTCCGTCCCGCGGATCGAAAAAGAAGAAGAGAGGAATTATGGGTACAAATTAATTCATCGCTTCGCATTCTGCCGCCTCGTGAATGATTTTCGAGTTACGGTCAATTACCGGATGGAGATATCCCTATGCTAAAACGTGTGAACCCCTCGGGTAATGATTCGCAGCCTCGAAATAGACCGAGAGTCCCTGATCGAACGCGTGTAAACCCCTGATAAACGTAGTCATCGTTTTCTAATAAGAAACTCAAGTGTCTACGGAATATTGATACTTTATATTACATAAACGTTGTAACGTGTTGTATACAGATTACTTTTCACGTATAATTCACCGTGAACTAGTCGATAATGAACAGGTAATTACCGATAGATCGCGTGTATGAAATTTTAGACGCTATTACGGAACTTTAGAGTATCGGCAGTTCGTGGCCCCGCTTCCGATCAAGTAATTCGATTTGCAGGTGGTCCAAGAGGCTCGCGGAACACCCGGTAAATGGCTCGGTTACACGAGAAACGACAGTCTAAAACGTTGCGCTTGATAACTTTCTTCCGGAGCCGGGCCGGCAGGCCGGCCGTGGTCGTTTTGCGCGCGACTCGTAAATCGTATTAGCATGACACTGAGCAAAAACCGTTCGCGAGATAGGTAGGTGCATGTAGCTCCCAGTCGAAGCGTTTCCCTAGCCTCTAAATGGATAATGAGCATTAAATCACTCGCTAAATGTTACGCACTGGCGTCGGATAAATGCGACCGTGGGCCGAACAGGCGTAATTGCTCATTCTGTTTGACCGATGGAACCGATCGGGACCTCGGTTACCAGCCGATCGTAAATACTTTGTTACGCGTACGCGTGGATCGCTCGGCTAGAACGGTTTTTCGTCGATTAGCGTCGCCGGCGAGATCATTCGCGAGCTACAATAGCGGAAGTTGTCTCGAAACGCCGTCAAAGACGCCTTTCATGAAATTCTTATCAGTACGCTGCGAATGTTGACGCGAACATAGATTCTCATTGATTCCTACGAGTCGAGAAGAAAAACAAACCTGACAAATATATCACACTTCTTTGCATAGATTTCGAAACTCTTAATCCGCTGGTATACAAAATAACGCGTATATCTTTAAACAGACTGAAGTGTTTTTGTTGAAAGCATTAGAATTCCTTGCTCAATATTCCTTTGCGCGGAAAAAAAACTGTAAAAGCCTTTGTATCCTCGTAAACATCCGCGGCCTGTTAGCGATAAGAACAAAGGCGCCTTTGATCCAGCGCGAAAGAGGAATCGAGAATCGACTGAAATCCAAGACTCACCATCTCGTCGAGGCTCTTCAGATCGTTGGTGACGATCTGCGGCTGCGGCCCGTAGATCAGGCAAGGCTCCTCCTGCTGCATGTCCGCGTACTCGTCGTCGCTCTCCTCGTTTCCGGTGTTCCCGTGGGCGCCGTTCGCCGCTTTGTTCTCCGCCGCGATCTCCCTGTCGATCTGCCTTTCCATCTGCACGAGCATCGGCGCCAACATTCCGAATTTCGCGCCTCTCCTTGCGACCTCCAGGAGACAGAGGATCACATGGCGCTCGTTCTTGCGCATGATCAGGTCGTCCGTCTCGAAGAGGAGGCACTCGATGATGCCCAGGCTGTTCCGGCACCAGCCGATGAAATTGGAGACGTTGTCGCGGGCGAAGAACGTGCCGGCCTTCGCGTTCGGCAGGAAGGCCACGTCGCTTAACTGGCTCATCGGCAACGCGAGCGACGAGGTTATCGAACGTGTCATCGAGATCTTGCGCGCCTGACGACGCGCCACATAGTCGGCCGCCGACTTGCGCACGTTGTTCGCGTGCTGCAATCAAATAAGAACCGTGTTAATCTTGAACATCTGGTTTCTAATCCTTGGAACAATAGGGAGTTTGGATTGATAAGGTGATCGACACACTTAGAGAGTTATATCTTTGATAATAGTTATAATGTAAAACGAGTACATGTTCGGTGTTTCGAAATTTCCTGCTTCTACTGACATTCAAAATCAATAATGCTATATAGATTATGTGGAACACGGAAAGTTCAGATTCATTTGTTCGGTGGTTGATCTGTACAGGGGATACTAGAAATCAACCATCTTAATTTCCATTAAACGCCCAGTGCCACGTTAACGACGCGCCGTCTTGAATTTTTCATCGAATAATTAGCGTTCCTGAACATCTCTAACAAGAATCTCGGCGTGCCGGCTCTGACATTCACCGATCGAACGACGCCGGGTAAAGGCGGCGGCGGCGGCGGCACGATCGAGCTCCGTGGCTCGTTTACTCGCGCTGATTAAAGAGTCAAACAGACACCGATAGCATCTTAACACCCGCGAAGCTAATTGTTCCATTAATAATAAGCGGTACCCAGCCGCCGCGATCTCCGCCGCGGACGATAAGTACCGCCGCGGCCATGTCCACCGATGCACTTTTATTATTGACGCATCTGAGCAACCGCTCTGATGATAATTGGATATCAAGGGGTGATGTAAATGAGCGAGGCCGGCCCCGCGCGTCTAATAACAGGTTCTCACCGCGCTCGCTGTCTATTCGTTTAATACCGTACGCCGGATCTGTTATTTTCCGATGCGGTTAACGACGCCCCATCATTTTTCCCAGGCTTCGATTAATTAAAAGTGACCCGTGCAGTGAAATCGCGCGAACACCTTTAGCGTCAAACTACCGTCTCTTCCAATGAGAAAATCTTTCGATGGATAAAGAACTCCTTTCTTTGCGCCTCGACGCTTTGCTAGAAATAAGAAAAGGCATTGTTTAATATTCGTATTTATTCATTTATTGTTTGTATCCCATTCGTTTCGATGCTAAGTTTCCGTGGAAAGTAGCTGTCAGCCGACGCCATTTTCAGTTTCTGCGTAAACATGGCGACTTGGGAGGTTAGGAGTCCCTGGCCGAAGTCGTGCGAACCCCGGACGAGTTCCACGAACTTTCTTAGGATATCCAAGACCCACCGGAAGGTTTCAAGTGCACTTCTTTTTTTCATTCACTCCTGCGATCATCCAGCACCATATGAATCACTGTTGTTTGCCTTTTTATTCGATCCATTAAGCCTGTTCTGATTTATTGCTCGTCGAGCGACTGACTCTGACTTGCACGCTGCCAACCCTATCTGGACCGCTTGTGTACACACGGTATTTACACGGGAATCCGATCAATGGGGCAATTCTTGCGTTCTGCGGGCGGGAGTGGGACATCTGCGGGCCAACTGGAACCGAGGGGCCCAGTTGTATATTATTCGATAATCTCGACAAATATTTTCCTTCGTTTAATATCGTGACGGGGAGGAATTTTCGACCAATGCGGGCGAATGAAAAAAAACGAGATGAAATATTAATTTCATTGTCCGGGCGAGTGGATTCACGACGAATACAGGGAAACACAGTGGCTGGAAAATATCCAATATCGTCGGATTTCCATTAACTCCACGTGTCCGAGCCCGCGCTATGAGTAACCTTACACTCGGTCCACAACGGAACTCGGTTTTTATCGACATATGCGGTTTCCACTGCATCCACAGAAGGCTCTCGCACTTTTCAGCCGGACACTGCAGTCGTTCGACATGAGGCTATCCATTCACGTCGGAAATTGCGCGCGGTTGCTTTTATAAACACAGGGAAAGAACGAGAGAAGAGAAAAGAGTAGCGAGTATCGAAGATCAGATACGCGATGTATAATAACAAGCCGATTGACTGAGCCTTGCGAAATTTAATATACACTTTTTTCCCCTCGGCTAATCCAGCCGACTTACGAGGTCAGTGTCACGTAGATCGCTCCGTTCTCATCTCACTTTCACTGTACCACTGACGCACTTCGCGCCAGCTGAGACTTCAGACTTTTCAAGATCGCGTCAATCGTTTCTGCGAATTTCGCCCCGCGAAATAGTCGTTTTATTTATGATTTTACGAGTGTAACGGGGTCCGGCGAAGTCGTTCGAGTAGTCTAAGAACAGCTCAAGGCTCCGTTTCAACGAATTACATTGCAAACTAGTAATATCTTGTTGGCAATGCTGAAACAAGTAGGCGAACTTGTAACAAGTGGTTCACCGTTCTTTAAAAACGAAGTCGTAAATGTTAATCCTTTAAGATTTATTTAATAATAACAGATGACACAGATTTATAACTTAAAAAGTTGCGAAAGAAAGAATCGAGGTTATGAAGAGGGTAATAAATGTTTGGATAACAACAATGGAATGTTCTGTATTAGCAATGTCGGATGCCGTTGTGGTTGAAAGAAAGCCCGAAGATTAATTTCTTCTCGGGGTAATAAATAATAATTGAATAATGGATAGTTCGTGGTAATCGTTTTACAGGGAACAAGCGACCGGTGTGATTCACGACGCGTATCTGCCACTGCTACTGTTAATCCGACCGGGCGACTTGATAAAACAGTTAAAGAGGTCAAGCCCGCAGACGCTGATCGATTGTTCCGTAATTTTTCATTTCCTGTCTCGATACGCTACCATGAATTTCAACGCTCTCGCCGCGCCAAAGACGTTACAACAACGGTGTCCCCTGGCCGAACCCTTCTGGGAAACCAATATAACCAGACGATTCGCTCCTCCTTTTTAAACGCCGCCATCCATCTTACGGATGATAGGTTCGGAATTAAAAGAAATGTCAAAGTTAATTGCTCCGACACTCTCGTTATGTAATACTACCAGTTAATTCTTTTTTAAGCGTTGATCTCGATTTCAAGAGACTTTTAATCGCTGTTGGATTACATGTAGGATAATAAATATACATAATGCCAGCGATTATGTAAATTTACGGACATCGAAACATTGAAGATAATTAAAAAGAGAACATTATTCTGTACCTGTGTAACAATATATGAGAGGAAGTCGTAGAATAGTTATTTAGCATTTTTATACGAGATGAAAAGATTTCTAAATCTAGGAACTTCTCAATCCAGAAATTGTTGAGCTTAGAAACTTCTAAACCTAGACGTATCTATACCTAGAAATTTCTAAATCTAGAACTTCTACACCTAGAAATTTCTAAATCTAGATACTTCTACACCTAGAAATTTCTAAATCTAGATACTTCTACACCTAGAAATTTCTAAATCTATATACTTCTAGATCCAGATACTTCTGCACCCAAAAAATATAAACCGCTAAATCTAGAAAGTTCTGAACCTAGAAACTCCTAAATTTCTCCAATCTGAATTCTCGATTCCAGATGAAATTAATATTCGACAACTAGACCAAGATTCCCAGCAATCCATGTATGTACAGTCGAGAAGCGGATTTCCACGATGGCGCACGGTCTGCCGATTCCGTATCGACAAACTCGCGATCGCGTCGCGCCGAGTCGCGGAGGGAGACACACAGCTCGAGAGACAAAAAGGGTTTCGCCTACTCGATTCCCCGATTCGATAGGCAGGATTTCCAGCTGCGAGGGCGAAGCGAAACGGTTGCTGGCTCGTTACAACCAGGCCGTTGACACATTCGCCTAATCTCTATATTATCCTCGGGGTGGTATCGGGCCGACTGGGACGACGGCCGACCGGATGCTGTTAGATAGAATTTTTACGAGTGTACACCGGAGTAGCCGGGCTCGAGAACCGCTCTCGCTCTCGCATACCATCGCCTTATGGGCTCCACGTGCGTGCCTCCAGCCGGACCAGTGAAAACGAGATACACCCGTCGACAGACCCCTTAAAACCACCGAGTCTCGCCCGTTTCTGGCCTGTCTCGCGCGCTGCACACCAACGAGAAACGCTTCACAGTTTATCAAACCGAATCGAATATAGTTTCTTATTAACTGCCCACGAATTTTATGCGCTCGCGAAACGTAACCCGCGTTACTGAAATTGCATTCGATTTCAGCTTATTTGGGAACCTGGCTGGACGAGTAATAGAACTAGACTTTCTCCCTCGATTATTTCGTTGACCGCAAACTCTGGAAATTTGTATTTCGTTCTTGTCAATTTGAATGTTATGGTTATTGCTAGTGATTTATGATCTTATATGTTTCTTTGAAAAATAGTGTTTGAATAATAATTAGATCGTGTTACTTGATACGATTCGTTGACTCCGAATTTCTACTGTTGCTAAGAGATTAAGATGCCGTTAAGCGTGGATTAACATTCAATGAAGTAGCCGGTAATTACAGATATACGATGCATTAAGATGCTTTTAAATCGGAAGGAATTAATATTTCTGGAAAGTCGAAAGTTGTGAAATTTTGTGAGTGGAACGATAAGTGTCGTAAAGATGCGAAAGTAATTACGTAAAAATTGAATGTACCGTTTCCACGTGGTCGCAAGTAACGGCCGCGGGATTGTGAAAAAAAGGAAACGTTGTTATATAGTCGCGTACGGTCTCGGTAGCTGACGAAATCTCCCGAACGGATGTAATTGAAACAAATTGCGAGTCTACGGGTGGCTCGTTCTTGACCCCGAAGCGATCCATTTCTCTTGGAACGAGAGCCGCGCGTCCTGTGTCGTTTAAATTCGATAAATAAGTTTCCCGTCAACCTAGGAACCGAGTGCGACGATCACGTCGGCGATCGTGAACGGCAAATGGGTCATCGATCGAGCTGCTATAACGATTTCCGAAATCTTTCGGCGTTCGTCGCTGCCCGGAAATTAATTCGAGGAACAGTTATGTGCTATTCCGATTTCGGGCTGTCCGTTTTCTCCTGCTCGTTGGTTTTTGCGTCGGTGATCGATGGAAAGTCTAGCAAGTGCCATTTTTATTTACTGCTACTGTTTTTGCCTGTTTCTCATCAGATATTTCAGCATTTTCTAATTTAATCTGTTAACCAGTTAACTGTGTTCGACGAGTATACACGTCATC